AGGCATTTGGTGTGCTCCATTCTCAATTTTCTATTGTCCGGTACCTCGCTCAGACCTGGTCAAAAGATCAAATGTGGGAGATCATGACTTGTTGTGTCATCTTGCACAACATGATAATTGAGAGCGAGCAGGAAGAGCCAATATTTGACACTAAACCATATTACAGGCAGGGTCCTCTTGCCCAAGTTGATCACCAGCTACCGGTAACCCGGACTGTCTTTCTCAATATGCGTCAGGAGATCCGAGACCCACATGTACATCAACAACTGTAGCAAGATCTAGTGGAGCACATACGGAGCCTCAAGGGCAACGCTTAACTCGACTTGTGATGAAATATGCGTTTTTATTTGTTGAACTATATAATTTGTATTGAACTATTTGATTTCTATTTGGTTTTCTGTGATGAACTATGTGATAAAAAATAGCTTCTGTTGAATTTGCGCCGAAGCACGGCGAATATGGACTGAAATTGGTCAATTTGCACCGATAGCGGGCCAATTTGCGCCGAAAGTGGTCTGGAAAATGGGCTAATTTGCGCTAAAAGTGGGCCAAAATCGGCGCCAGGGGGCAACGTGGGGGCGGCGGCTGAGAACCCGATCACCCCACGCCAATTTTAGCGCCAGTTGGCGGCCAGGCGATATTTTATGGGAAAACGTTGTTCTTAAACCGGCTGATAACAACGGAACTTCAGCCGCCTCCTGCTTCCGCCCGAGGTTGGAAAAAGCGGTAGGCGTAAGCGGGGCGGTTGTCCTTCGCCTAGTGCCTAGGCAGTGCCTAAGCGCCATAGGCGCGGCCTAGGTGGTAATATGGTTTTTACTCGAAGTGTATTTGTGATTATTATATGGGTGTTGATATTAATTTAGGGCATATAAATAAGTTAATTGCCGACTACTAACGTTGTAATATAACCTGTTTGGCATATCAGTGCAGTATGTGGCATGATTTCTTGCTTGGGTAGGCAATTCCTTGCTTTCCCTGCCTAGACCTCCATTTATGCCCTAGGCGAGGCGTTTGGCCATTGCCTAGCGCCTAGGCATACCTAAGCGGCTCCTACGCACTGCCTTTTCCAACAGAGCTTCCGCTACATGTCAGCTGCGACCCCACGCACCGCTTCCTCTCTCTCCACCTATCTCCTCCAACCACCACATGTTTTCTTTCTTTCTTCCTCGCTCGTTCTCTCCCGTATCCCAAATCCTCATCTCCTTCCGCCGACGCAGCAACAGCCACCACCGGCCACCGACCCGTCGTCACTGGCGGTAGCCACCCGCTGCAAGAGCTAGAAAATCTCTGCTGCACATACTACCACCTATTGCAACCGCTCCACTCGCTTCTTCTCGTTCCTAGACGCAAACATAGCAGCGCTGCGACCCCATGATCTCGTCGTCGACCAGGGACGCTGCAATCTGAATCTCGCCACGGCGGCGGACCTGCAATGCAACATGCAACATGTGTGGTGCCGTGTCCTCGCAGACCTCGTCGGCCGGGGAGCTGCAGTGCAGCACGTGGTGCTGGCATGAATAGTAAAATAAAAAATTCAAAAAATTGTAAAAATAAATTGGTGTCAAAGAATGACAAATATTTTAAGTGCCTACCAAGTTTTATCAGGGAACGACATTCGTGGAAGTCGTGGCAAAAAGACATTCTATATGGGAGTGCTGATTGTTTTTTTGCCACCAATTTTTTTAGATTTTTTTTAATTCTTTTAGATTTTACTATTCATGGTGGTATCATAAGAGCTAAAACTTGGATGGGCACTTTCCAACATTTTTGTTATAAGAGAAAATGACACTGACATATAGCTGATGTTTTCTGAACATTTTGGTGTCTTATTTGCATTTTTCTGGTTTAGTATGAATTAGTTATGAATTTTTCAAACTGACGGTCAAACGGTCGAAGGGCAGAAGCATAAGAGGAGCGAAGTGACTTGGACAAAACCGATGACTGTTGGAAATTAGGGGTAAAACAACCGAGTGGGACACAAGTAAGGGCATAAATCTAATTATCCCTTTATGTTTTAGAATTTTGTGAACCAGACAAACATTAAGATATTTGTGTGGACGTTAATTTTTTTGGAAGAAGTCTGAAATAAACCTTGAACTTGTAGACGAAAGCTAAATCGAATCCCAAACTTCAAATCCCAGAAATCAACACATCGGACTCTCTGATCCCAATCTATTTTGAACCTTGAGAGAGTTCCCAAACAGGGATTGTCGACATGGCATGTTAAATCCCGGGATTGTTGCACGTGGACTCGATTGGGCCGGCCCACCAGGCATGAAGCTTTTTTCTTACCACGCGACGTAAAAACCGGAGTCGAACTTGGGACCTCGCAAAGTTGAGCTTATCTTGATAGCCACTAGAACACATGACTATGAGTGATATAATCAGAGGCCTGAAATAGTTAAAGACACACCGAAACGTCGAACTTTGAAAACATTTTTAGGGGCAAACAAATATTGAAAACATAAACAATTTTGGAAATGGCCAAACATTTTATAAAGTGTGGGCACTTTTGAAAATTCCGAATACTTTAAGAAAACAACTATTTTTTGAAAAAGCAATCAGTTTTGAAAAGCGAACACTTTTTGAAATATAAACATTTTTGAAACCTGAAGAAAATTTTAAAGTGCGAACACTTATGGAAAATTTAAAAATGGAAACAAATTTTGAAACCTGAAAAAATGTGTAAAGAAAATGTTAATGGCATCTAAAAAACATCACGAGTTTAGATAAACGTATGTGGCATTTAAAAAAATGTTTGTACAATGGAAAATAATATTCTTGTGATTCAAAAAAAATGTTTCATCCATAAAAAAATGGTAGCATTTCAAGAATGTTCATGAGTTTCAAAAAATGTGCTTGTGACCTTTAAAAAAGCGTATACAATGTAAAGAAAAAGGTTTGCATGATGTAAAAATAATGCCATACCCTTAAAATACTATATGTGACATGTGTTTGAAAAAGTGTATACAATTTAAGAAATGTGTAACAATGTAAAAAAATGTTCGTGTAGTTTATAAAACTAGTAAATGTGTACGTGCAATGCACGTTGATATTAGGTAATATATTAATTACACGTAAGTATTAGGTAGGATATTATTTATGCATTAAGTATGTGATTAGCATTGGCATTAATATTTGGTATGCTATTAACTGCACACTAAACATGTTGAGCGCTCACCATTGGAACAACCTGAGTCGTTAGATTGACCTGATTTGACGGCCGGGATTTGTTGGATCTGCCCCTTTGGGTCTTTTTATGTTGGTATAGATGTTTATTATCCTTAAGAAAATGTAAAACATCTATTTGAAAAAGTATTACCGTGTATTCAAAAAAGTATTGTAAACTTGTATTTAAAAAAAATTATCTAATGTATTTGAAAAATGTCGAAAGTGTATTAGAAAATATTACACATGTGTGCTAAAATTGTGCATTGGGTACTGAGAATAATTAGACATGTGTAAAAAAGAAAACCGGTTACCGATAAAGAAACAAAATAAAAGCGAAAAAACAAACAATATGAAGAAAAAACAAAAAGTATAACGAAGAAAGGAAAACCAGATAAAACCATTGGAAAAACAAAGTACAATGAAGGGAAAAAAGCAGAAGAAAACCAATGAAAAACCAAAGGAAAATAAAAAGAAAAAAAACAAAGAAAAAGGAATACCAGCTAAATCCTCTCGAGGTTTAAAATAGGCCGGGATAAGAGAGTTTGGTGTGCTGATTTTAGGTACTGAGAGTTTAGAGTTTGATTTAGATTTCGCCTACAAGTTGAAGGTTTATTTTGGGCATTTCCCTAAAAAAAATATGGAATAATATGAACCGTCAGACATATTTTTTATACAAGTTTTTAGTCCTCGCCAAAAACAAACAAACAATAAAACACCTTTGATTTAATGAAAGAGGCGCTTCCCGGACTGCTTTGGAAGCAAGCCACGCAAGGAGAGTTGCCTCCTCTCCCGAATCTCATCCTCCTACTCCCCCCGATGAGATTCGGGAGTATTTGTTATGTATCTTGATCAGGTCAGTGATCACTAGTTCGCAAAAAAAAAGATCAGTGATCACTGATTAGTCCTTTCCGACGAGAATCCGCGTGATTTGCTGCGTATTACTCCGTCTGTTCCTCTCCCCGCTTCATTTCTTGCTTTTCGAGTCGACGTGGACTCGCGGCCTCCTCCTCCGAGCGGTGCGTGCCGGGGAGCCGTCAGCCGTGGCGACCACACGCCGAAAGTTAAGTTAACCAGCTGATTTATGCGGGGTCACCGAAGCCGACCCTTCTTTCAGCTACGCAATCGCGTCAGTTAACGATTTTTCAAGCAACCCTAGATCGATCTCGCCCGGATCTTCGTTGACCCCGCTATTTTTTTTAACTAAAAGTCTTTCCAATTTCAGCCCCTTGGTCTGGAGTTCTGATTGGACGGGGCTCGTTCCCGAGCGTTGATAATGAGATATTTTATCGACGATGCGTGCCGAGTAGGAACTCCCGTCAGTTTGCTTGTATGCATCTGCTACACAGCTCCTGCACCGTTGTTTGCACACAAGCTCTCGGCCTCACGGGGAGCACCGAGTGCTGCGGTGAGGAGCAGCACTAGATGATGGAAGGCCAAGAGGACAAGAGGCCTTCCATCATTTTCTGACGGGGGCGCTCCCAAGCTTTTTGGTCGAAGCTAGAGGGCCCGGCAGGTGAGATTTTTAATCCATGCTCTCTGTACGCGCAATTATCCATTCTAACCGAAGAATCAAGAATGTCCTCCTTGCTCCATGGATTCTGCCTTGGAATCACTCACAGCTCTCTCAAGAGCTCACTCGGAGCTAGTAGTAGTACAAGTGTAGAGCTCACTAATGATTAACGAACACCGTGCTCTGTCCGGCGGTCCGATGACTCCTCCGTCTCCCCCCGGACTCGAATCTGACGCCGCGAGAATCTGCCCCCACTATGTCTATGCAGCAGGACAGGCAGAGGAGGCCGCCGCCGCCGTCGCCGGGCGTCGAGCTCGCGATGGCGCCGCACTCGCGGGACGGCCGCAGAGTCCGTTTCGAGGAGATCCGCGAGCTCGACGGCCACGGCGACGAACCAGAGCTGGGGGCCGGGCACGCGCGGGGCCGCGTGCCGCCGTGGCGGGAGCAGCTGACGGCGCGCGGGATGGTGGCGAGCCTGGCGGTCGGCGCCATGTACAGCGTCATCGTGATGAAGCTCAACCTCACCACGGGCCTCGTCCCCACGCTCAACGTCTCCGCCGCGCTCATCGCCTTCGTCCTCCTCCGCGCCTGGACCAAGGCGCTGGCCCGCCTCGGCGTCGCCGCCCGCCCCTTCACGCGCCAGGAGAACACCGTCGTGCAGACCTGCGCCGTCGCCTGCTACGGCATCGCCGTCGGAGGTCAGTGCCGGCCACACATCGCATCTGCCAATTTGTCAAGTGGAGACCTTGGATTGAGACGCGTCCTTGGATTTTTCCCTTCCCTTCCCTTCCCACAGGTGGGTTCGGGTCCTACCTGCTCGCGCTCGACAAGAACACCTACGAGATGGCCGGGGAGGAGACGGAGGGCAACGTGCCGGGGAGCTACAAGGAGCCCGGCATTGCGTGGATGACCGGCTTCCTCCTCGCCGTCAGCTTCGTGGGGATCATCGCGCTCGTCCCTCTCAGGAAGGTCAGTAATCAGTATGCTTGTGCTCCCCACAGTCTTGCTTGCACTATTACCTTCACAAGCTTAATGATTCTGTAACACTCACTCCTCTACAAATGTTGCTTGCATACTGTCAAAGTGGTAATCAACTCCTTGTCACTATCTGTATTGCTCTTGCTTGGACAACTGAAAAATGTTGGCTCCTTCTGCTGTCCTACGCCTACGCGTGCGGCGTAAGGTCTTTTTGTCTCTGTCTTGCTATCCTTGTTTGTTTATAAGGATAAGACCAACTCACGGATTAGGCAAAGCTGACTTCGATTTAGTTAGGTGATGTAGTTTGACGTCAGTGCTAGGAGTACCATTTTCATGCTTTTTTTTCCTTCGACTTGAGGAGCTCCTCGCTCCTGATTTCATTTCTATCATTTTCATGATATCAGATTGACTGGTGATGACTTTGTTGTCCCTACTGAATGTGCCTTCTTTTTGGAGAAAAATAGCAGAAGGATTGCCTTTTCACTATAATAAGAAAGAAATGTTACAAAATATAAAAGGGCTGGGCTTGTTTCTGAACTTGACATGTTCCAACGGGATAGGCTACTAGGAGTCTAGGACCAATTGGATGCGCTGCACTCGAACTCTCTGCAGTACCCTAAGAACCCCTTGGGGAACACCTTGTGGTACGCGAGCCTCATTGACTCATTGTGCTCAAGATGTGCCGATTTTCCGCCCATACATTCCAGAGCATGTATATACAGCAGCGGTTTCTTCTCCTTTGAGGACAATTGCCGCAACATTTCGTTCTACCAGGCGTTGGTAGACAAAAAAGGGGAGAGTGGTGTGGAATGAAGCTCTCCCGACCAAAGGCACACAAGGTCCCACACAACCTTCTGGATCCTGATTTTTAATTACAGATATGAATAGTGTTCCGGTCACCGTCTTGATGGTGGATCTTGAACAACAATTTTTGGATAAATTGCGAAAGCCGGGACTTCAACTCAAGACCTTAGGCCCTGATCATGCACTTATCAACTTCAACTCAAGACCTTAGGCCCTGATACCATGTTAAGCTTCATGCACTAGCCAACGCAACCAAAAGTCCAAACAGATGAAAAGATCTAGGCAATCTACATATACACTTCTACAACCTCCACCTGTCACCAAAAGGGGAGAGGGCGATGCCATGAGAGACCATGATGATCCTTTGATCATGATGCACTCGCGGGCACACAACGGCATCGGCAAAAAGCCTGCCACAAGATCGGCGAACAAAGACCACACGCCAGACGGAGAGTGAGCCACCACTCCTACCACCTCCAATGGAGGAAAACCTCTCCGCCTCCGGCTGCAGCAAGTCGGATTTGACCGCGCCCATGGGCCTCCATGATTGATTCACGATCTGACGGCGCCATAGTCGTGAGTCATGACGTCTGGTAATTATGGGAGGTGGCCAGCCCTATGGCATCGGTTATTATGTTTTTGAAAATTTGTTATTCTAATCTTCAGCTGCAACCCATTGAGAGCATGAATAATTTTGAAAAGAAAAAAAAAGTACATAGAAGTTTTGAGTTGTCAGCTATTTTCTTTAGTCCTTGGTCATATTTGGGAAAACATATTTTTTCTTGTGAATCCTTCAAAATGAACTTGATTCCGTGTAGTCTTCTCTTGGATTACAAGAACCTCTATAAGTTTGACATCACATTTACACAGATGATTAATTTTTCTGTCGAACTTCGTAAATTTCAGATTATGATAATTGACTACAAATTAACTTATCCAAGCGGGACTGCAACAGCTGTGCTTATAAATGGATTTCATACGCCTCATGGAGATGCTATGGCAAAGTATGTTGGTTATTTCACATAACACGGGACTTGCAAATTCAAACACAATTATCTGTTTTTTAACCGGTCCTCATGTTAGGCAGCAAGTAAATGGATTCACAAAATACTTCGGAATCAGCTTCTTCTGGAGCTTCTTCCAGTGGTTTTACTCTGGTGGGGACAGTTGTGGGTTCTCGCAGTTTCCTACTTTTGGACTAACAGCTTGGAAACACACGTAACATTGTCCACTTTGCTCATTGTGATATTAAATCTTTTCTTGACTAGTAACATTTTTATCTGATTCTGTTTTTTCTTCTTCTGATTTTTTGGGGTGTCAGATTCTTCTTTGATTTCAGCCTCACATATGTTGGGGCAGGGATGATTTGTTCCCACCTTGTTAACCTGTCTCTCCTTTTTGGCGCCATTCTCTCCTGGGGTGTCATGTGGCCTCTGATCAGTGATTTGGAAGGCGACTGGTATCCAGCAAATATACCAGAAAGCAGCATGAGCAGCCTGCAAGGCTACAAGGTTTGTTTCTTTATTTTTTTTGGTTATTGTACTGTGTACATGTCTGACTATAATTCTTGTTGCTTACCTTGTCTCAATCTGCAGGCCTTCATATGCATAGCTCTCATCCTAGGAGATGGCCTGTACAATTTTGTCAAGATTATTGTCTTCACTATTAAGAATCTGATTGAAAAATCAAATCTGAAGAACACAAAGAAAGGTAAACATTCTGATAAATGCATGACATAGAGTCTTTGTGATGTATAGATAATCTGATTGGGGTTAGTGCTATTTTTTAGATGAAGACATTCCAGTGCTTGATGACCTTCATCGTAATGAAGTTTTTATGAAGGACAGTCTACCTTCATGGCTAGCTTACTCTGGCTACGTTGCATTATCAGTTGCTGCAGTAATTGTCATCCCCATGATGTTCCGCGAGATGAAGTGGTACTATGTTGTCATTGCGTACCTACTGGCTCCTGCCCTGGGTTTCTGCAACGCCTATGGCGCCGGCCTTACTGATATCAACATGGCCTACAATTATGGGAAGGTTGCCCTCTTCATTCTTGCAGCCTGGGCTGGCAAAGACTCTGGTGTGGTTGCTGGCTTAGTAGGCTGCGGTCTGGTGAAGTCGCTGGTGTCAATATCTGCTGATCTGATGCATGATTTCAAGACTGGGCATCTCACACTAACATCTCCCAGATCAATGCTGATTGCTCAGGCTATTGGCACCGCCATGGGCTGTATCATCGGGCCACTAACATTCATGCTGTTCTACAAGGCATTTGACATAGGCAACCCAGAAGGGCCCTGGAAGGCACCGTATGCTCTAATCTACCGAAACATGGCGATTCTTGGTGTGGAGGGTTTCTCTGCTCTACCCCAGCATTGCTTGCAGCTGTGCTATGGGTTCTTTGGCTTTGCAGTGGTGGCCAACCTTATGAGGGACCTCTTGCCGCCGAAGTATGGCAGGTGTGTTCCCCTACCGATGGCAATGGGGGTTCCTTTCCTCGTCGGCGCGAGCTTTGCCATCGACATGTGCGTGGGAAGCTTAGTAGTCTTCGTCTGGAACATGATGGACAGAAGTAAGGCTGCACTGATGGTGCCGGCAGTTGCATCTGGTTTGATATGTGGAGATGGGCTTTGGATCTTCCCTTCGGCCTTGCTTGCACTGGCCAAGATCAGCCCACCATTCTGCATGGCATTTAGGCCTACACACTAGGGACAGTAACAAACTACTCTATGTACAGTTAGAAGACATACATCCTGGCAAGAATGCAGTAAATAGGTTTTGCATAGCCGGGCGAGATTGTAGCATGCACATGCATTTTTTCTTCTTGTATTGATATGTTGCTGTATATAGTTTTGGCAACAAGTCACACAAGGTGTAATACTGTAAGATGTGGGAATAATCTTTCGGGGGCAGCTGATCCAATTGTTAATTGTCAGTTTCCAGCTGTTGTCGTTAAAAGTATCATCAGTACATACAAAATGAAGATAGTTCACTCAGATATATGCCAATGAAGAATCATCATTTTTTTAGAAAAAAAAAAGAGTGTTTCCCCTCCGATTTATGTTATAAGAAACCAGCACTTCCCTACAGGTTCGAATACAACAATATACAGTAGATCAGAAGGAAACAGCCTAGCATCAGAGAACCAATTCAAGGCCATTCAACATCTCCAGCCAAAACCATGGTAAAAGTAGTAGCTCACAAGGAAGAACTAACTTCATGTTTTTTTCCAACAGAAGGAGAGGCAACAGCTTGAGCCGAAGCAACCCACATGCATCGCCGCTTGATACTGCATCTTTCAGGTTTACCCATTAACATAGGGTTGAGGAGACGGCGTACAAATTACTCCCTCCGTCTTATAATATAAGACGTTTTTTAACAATACACTAGTGTCTGACGCTCCTCCTCCTCTTTATTTTATGAGAAACTCCTCCTCTAGGTCGTGCACCTCTCTGATATGGGCCTGGGCCACGTTGGTCAACAGTACATGGGCCATGGGCCCCTCATTCCAGAGTCTTCAGCAGCTCCGTCACACTAAAAGCCTCCTTGCTTGTGTTCTAAAAAAACTAAAAACCTCCTTGCCATCTCCTCGAACAATTTCCTCGTAACAGTAGACTTCATCTCGCCTTCTTAATTTGTAGTATACCAGACCGTAGACTTCATCTCGCCTTTTTAATTTGTAGTCTATCAGACCACGTATGGAGCCAATGGCTAACTAGTTTGACAATCACTACCGAATCATGAGGTTTGTTCCTTGTGGTCCATATTGACCAAAGAACAACATCAATCCGTACCAAGATCAAACACTTCGTTTCACGAGCAAAAGCATAAACCTGCACAATCAACAGCTGATCCACTTCCCTTCACTAGTAAGGATGTTTTTTGAAACGGACACTAGTAAGGACGTTGTTGTTATGAGGGGATGCTATTATGAGCCACCAGCCAAATAAATTGTTTGATACCCAAAGGAAGCATTATTTTCGCAGTTATTTTGGTGGGGAAGAGGAATCCATCCACTACAATTCTTGTAGAAAGATCTAACATTAAATTTTCCTCTTTTTTTTGCAAGACCAAGCAACATCAGTTTTCCAAGTTCTTCTCATAAAGCACATTTTCCTCTCCTCACTAAAGCAAAAATCATGCGGAATAGGGAACTGCTAATATAGTGGTGTATCCCCTATCCACCGCTCCTCCCGAAACCTCGTTCCTTTTCCCATTTCTAAGTCTCTTTTTACAACATTTGTAAAAAGAGCATCTTTCACATGTAACTCCAACACATGGAGTCACCTGCTCTGCTTTTACATGTAACACGAAGCCTAAAAAGACACCAAAAGACATCTACAAACTGGCAGAAGCCCTCCCACCGGGAAAAGCCGAGATCCACCGCATCTCCATGGCCCAAGGCCACAACAGATGAGGTGGACCTGCGACACATCCTCTTGCCACATCACCCTAGCTCCGAAACAATCTAAACGTTTCCCAACACCGACTGGAATTTCATAAAAAGACATGATATAAAAGGGAATGCTACTTAGACTCAAATTGACAGGTACCAATTTCCCTCCAATTGAAAGAAGCTCTCCTTGTCAGCATCCTAACCTGTTTCCAGTTTACTCAGCTTGTTTCTAGTTCAAACTTCATCTCGTGGAATGCCAAGATAAATGGGTGATAAACCACCAACTTTACACGTGAAAAGATTACTATAAACAACGTGTTTTCCTACGGGCTACGGCTTCCCCGAAATAAAACAACTCACCCTTGTGAAAACAGACCGGTGCCAGTGGTGGAAGAAACGGTAGTTGAAGAGAGCCATCGCCGCTCATGACATCAGATGATGCGTGAGCTATCTCTTCCTTCTTTCCCTGCTGCGTGTCACCTCGGAGCTTGGCCTGCACCGATTCCATTTGTCTTTGCTACGAATCGATCGCACTGGTTCGCTTTGCCCTCTGAAGCAAATAGTGTCATACATACATTGTGGAGCTTTCTTTCCTGGTGCAGCTCAAGGCACGGTCTGCATCAGTATCTCTCACCGCCACGATCGATCGTGGTCGTTGCTACCCATACTCTGTAGTGCTCGTATATGTGCGGTTAGGTTTGCCGAGCAATTTGACGGATTCGAAAGCTGCAGCAGCGATGGCGCCACTGCCCCCGCGCGGCCGTGCCTGAATCTCACGCCAAAAGAATCCAAAACAGGACCGCATGGCCATGATCCCCCGCGCACTAGTTGCCCATCTTGCGCTTATAGTCTGTCTGTCTATATGACAACTCATTTTCTCCCGTAGGCTGGGGTAACCTAGCTACTACTACTACTACTCGCTGGCTTTCGTGGTTTGATTGACTTCACACATGCGCAGCGACGGGCAATCACGGCAAGAATCGCGGTAACCTAGCTAGCTAGCAAGCTAGATTTCCCTCACACACCATAAGAAAACAAACACCTTTGTGGCTTGACTTCGGAAGTGCGGTACGATGAGCAATCAAGTCAAGAGTTCCGTAGTTCTCAAAAAAAAAGTCAAGAGTTCCGTAAGATGCGATGAAGCACGGGTCTCTGGTCCAAGCTGAAGCATACCGTGGTGGTACCACCTCCTATTTCCCCCGCTTAGTACTGTGCTCAACCGAAGAAATTTGGCCTCCTAATAAGCGCTTGCACAATTGGGAGACAAAGATGCAACATTATGGCATCTCTAACCGATTACCTACCTGACGTTAGAGGAGGATAATTTCAGTTATCCTCCTCTAACCGGCACCTAACCAAACCCCTATAACTGTTAGAGGAGGAAGAAGATGATGAACACTTCAAAATGGCCATTGCACGATCTTCAATGAAGATTTTCGGTGGTCGAGGAGAGGATCACAATTCAGCCATATACACATCAACCGAGATAGAGTGGAGAGCCATGCCAAGATTATGAGAGATTATTTCGACCCCAATCCAACCTATCCGGAGAAGTATTTTCACCGGCGATTTCGGATGCACACACGTTTCTTTCTTGCCATTGCAAAAGCCGTGGTGAAGCATGATGATTGGTTCAAACTTTGCCATCACTCGTGCAGAGAGCTTTCGGTGTGCTTCAGAAGTGCTTTGCCATCATTCGTGGCCTTGCCTAGTATTGAAACCCCAAGACCCTATGGCAAATCATGACACGTTGCATCATCTTGATCATTGAAGAGAGAGACATGCCTGAGAACTTTTGGTACATCTCCAATGGAGATCCTACTAAGCCGCAACACAATGCACACAGGATACTGATATGTCTCCAATGTATCTATAATTTTTTGATTGTTCCATGTTATTATATTATCTGTTTTGGATGTTTTATATGCATTAATATGCTATTTTATATGATTTTTTGGACTAACCTATTAACCTAGAGCCCAGTGCCAGTTCCTATTTTCCCCCTTGTTTTAGAGTTTCCCGGAAAAGGAATACCAAACGGAGTCTAAACGGAATGAAACTTTCACGATAATTTTTCTTGGACCAGAAGACATCCAAAGGGCTTGGAGTGCACGTCAGGAAAGCCACGAGGCGGCCACAAGGACGATGGCGCGCCCCCACTCTTGTGGGCCCCTCATGACTCCACCGACCTATTTCTTCCGTCTATATATTCTCAAATACCCCAAAACCTTTCAGGGGAGCCACGAAACCACATTTCCACCACCGCAACCTTCTGCACCCGTGAGATCCCATCTAGGGGCCTTTTCCGGCATCCTGCCGGAGGGGGGGGGGGTCGATCACGGAGGGCTTCTACATCAACACCATTTGCCTCTCTGATGAAGCGTGAGTAGTTTACCACAGACCTACGGGTCCATAGCTAGTAGTTAGATGGTTTCTTCTCTCTCTTTGATTCTCAATACCATGTTCTCCTCGATGTTCTTGGAGATCTATTCGATGTAATACTTTTTTGCGGTGTGTTTGCCGAGATCCGATGAATTGTAGATTTATGATCAGCTTATCTATGAATATTATTTGAATCTCTAAATTCTTATATGCATGGTTTGATATCTTTGCAAGTCTCTTCGAACTATCGATCTGGTTTTGGCCAACTAGATTGGTTTTTCTTGCAATGGGAGAAGTGCTTAGTTTTGGGTTCAATCTTGCGGTGCTCGATCCTAGTGACAGAAGGGGAACCGACATGTATTGTATTGTTGCCATCGAGGATAACAAATGGTGTTTCATCATATTGCTTGAGTTTATCCCGCTACATCATGTCAACTTACTTAATGCGTTACTCTGTTCTTATGAACTTAATACTCTAGATGCAGGCAGGAGTCGGTCGATGTGTGGAGTAATAGTAGTAGATGCAGAATCATTTCGGTCTACTTGATACAGACGTGATGCCTATATTCATGATCATTCCCTTAGATATCGTCATAACTTTGTGCTTTTCTATCAATTGCTCGGCAGTAATTTGTTCACCCACCGTAATGTTTTCTATCTTGAGAGAAGCCTCTGGTGAAACCTATGGCCTCCGGGTCTATTTTCCATCATATAAGTTTCCGATCTACAATTTTAGTTTCCTATTTACTTCCTTTGCAATCTTTTACTTTCCCTTCCATAAACCAAAAATACCAAAAATATTACTTTACCGTTTATCCATCTATATCACATCTCACTTTGCAAATAACCGTGAAGGGATTGCCAACCCCTTTGTCGCGTTGGGTGCAAGTAGGTGTTTTTGTGTGCAGGTATTAAGTGGCTTGTTGCGTTG